CCTGAAACCTGCATAATTTGGTTAACCAATGTCACCTCAATAAATTAAGTAAAAAATAAAAAAAATACTACATAATATTTATATGAAGTTCAAAATCAGAGAAAATTTCATTACAGCCTTTATTAACTGAAAATAGCTGTTTCCTCCCACTCTTCACTACCCATTCCTTCCTAGTCAGTCACTCCTTCTCCACATTAAACACTTTCAATTCCTTCAAGGGTTCTCAAACACTTCATCTAGTTGCCCTCCTCTTGACACATCCAGATTTTCATTTATGTCTTTTCCAGAAGTAAGGCCAACATTGTAAATATGTTCTATCCAATTTGTGATACATATTATATCCCTTATTAGGTACAGAATTCCCTTAATGCAGCCTATTATTTAGTTGCTGGGTTTTTATTTAAGCCACTCATACTGCTGGATCTCTGTGATTATGCAAAACCAAACTCCTAAAAGTCTCTATCAAATCCAGCTACTTCTTCCCCTAAATGCAAAGGTTTATCTTCTCAGTCCCATACCATTAAACCTTCTAAAGCTTTTAACGAAGTTATCACTTCCCTTCTTCTTTTGAAATTACTATCTTTAACCTCCACTTATTCTAGTTTTCCTCTTTCTTCCAAATACATTAAATTTTCCAGCCCTAGCCAGGTAGCTCAGTTGTGGTTAGAGTGAGGTCCCCATACACCAAATTTGTGGTTGGATCCCTGGTCAGGGGACATAACAAGAAGCTACTAAAGTATAAATAAGCGGTACAAATTGATGTTTCTCTCTCCCTCTATAAATCAGTAAATTTTTAAAAAGTTGCTTATTAGGATAAATTTTCCAAGTCTCTTCCCCTCCATTTTTTCATGCATTGGGGCTTTTCATCTCTGCACCCCGTCAAAATGTACATGTCTCTTTCTAATCCTTTCTCCATAGGTAAAATCATTATAACGCTCTTTCAGATAATTTTAACCATTAAACAGTTTATATCTCTAGCCCCAACCTCTACCCCAAACTTCTGACTAACATATTCTGAAGTCTCAATCTAGATGTCCCAAAAGTACCTTCTATTCAGCAAATACAAATCCCTAGTCACTTTCTTCCTACCACTCAATAATTACTTCCTCCCTGTGTCAACAATTTCAATGACAAATATCTAACCACCAAAACTAAAAAGCTTTGACACATTTTTTTTTGATCCACCCCCGAGGATATGCTTAATTGATTTTAGAGAGGAAGAGGAGTAGGGAGACCAACAGACAGACAGACAGACAGAAACATCCATCCGAACCCACAACCTAGGTATGTGCCTTGACCAGGAATCTAACATGCAACCTTTCGGTGTACCAGAGCATACTCCAACCAACTAAGCCACCAGGCCAGGGCTTTAAATTTCTTTCTTTTTTTTTTTAATCCTCACCTGAGGATATGGGAGACATCTTAACTCTTTCCTTTTCCCACCAGTGTATAATCAACACACTCTACTTTTTCTACTTCTAAAATGTCTTGAGAAACAATGTTACTGCTCCAGTTCAAGCCTTCTTCATCCCATTAAACTAGTGTAATAGCCTAATCAGACTCTAATTCCAATCTAGTCTTTATCTATTCACAAATATATGACTTCATAAACACAGCCTTGATTCTGACTTTTTGGTCCCCTAATTTAAAAACTCTTCTTCTTCAAAGCCCAATTCAGTGATTTAACTGCTCTCTCTTACCCCCAATAAAGGTTAGTTCTGCTATCACAGAATTTAAAATGTATAGTTTGATATGCCTACATTTCCTCCTTGATTATAGGCTACTCAGAGAAACAGTGCAACTCTTTTTTATTCTTAGAACCTTTATGTTGGTGAACTGAATGGAATTCTGCTCACAGAACTACTTTTAGGCAATGGGCACTGCAGGTTTCTGCCTGTGGGTTCAGGAAAAATTTTTTAAGTTGCTTTAGTTATCTACCTTTGCCCACTGAGTTGTTCAGAAACTTTATAAGCACAACTATGCATTTATCCAAAGCATTAATAAAAATATTAAAATGGACAAGAACAAAAGCTTTTTAGATATATCTCTAAGTTTGACAATGATGCCTTTGTTAACATTTTAAGAAAGGTTATTTTATATCTATTAATGTAATATTATTAATGTTGTGAGCTACCATGTATTTACCTCTTCTCCAAGGACAAGATAATGATTTCCAAAGCTACTATTTTCTTTTTTTAAATAAGACTTTTTATCTGTTTCTACTCTTCTGGCATACTCTGAGTCACTACAAATTAACAAAAGCTATTAACACCTCTCAGTTCCTTTGTGTCGTTTAAATGTCATTTAAAGCCTGTGGCATTAGCCAGATAGGTAGAAAATGGTTTCTTGGAATCCAAGCAAGTGGTAAAGCAACCTGAATGGGATTTACAGAACTTGATCAGGCAACAGTGTTAAAAAACAGTTAAAAAATATTTACAAAAGGGTGAAACGTTCATTCAGAAGACACCAAAGGAGTTCCATTGTAATTACAGGGACAATTTTTGTTAAAGGTTCTATGTGTCCATTTGTAGCATGAGAAAAACCACCTGGAAAAGCAGCTTCCAAGGCTAATGTGAAGCTGATAATCAGCCTGTCAAGATATGGTAACCGATAATAAACTGTGTCACAGAAATTTCAACTTGTTTGAAACAACAAAACACTTCCCATGATTGCTCATCCTCCAAAAATGAATTAGAATTAAATACTGAAATTATATCAAACTCATGATACTAGTATTTCTATTTTAAGTTTAAAACGTGACCTATTTTTTCTTGAAGTTCTTGTAATATTTAAGAGAATTTTAACATTATAAAATCTGACAGCCTCATGATTCTAAATTTAAAATAGTAACTGATTTCAGACTTGTGACTTTGTTTAAAGCTATTAAGAGCTATTTGGTTTGGTTAATAAGCAAAATTTGGAATGTTTAAGAGAAATTGTGACTCACTATATTTAAATGAATTAACTTTAAGAGTTTTAAGTATTTAAAAGTATTTAAAAGTATTTAAGAGTTTAAAGTCCTGCTTGTTTAAATTTCACATTTACTCCATAAAGCACATGGTAAGTACTAAAAATAAAAGTCTGGTATATTAAATGTATAAATATAAGAACTGTAATTAAGTTAAGGAGCAGTAATAGTTAGTAGTACTAATAGCTAACATTCAAAGCATGTTTTCCTACTGCTCAACATTGTTCCAAGTATTTTACAGTGTAATCTCATTCAATGAAAAAATAATCACTGAGGATCCACCATGAACTAGGCATCATTACAGGCTCTTAGAATTAAATTAGAACAAAACACACTTTAAACCTTCATGGGTCTTATATTTCAGTAAAAAAAGACAGAAAATAAATATCACATATGATAATTACTATGAAGAAAAACTGAGGAAAGTGAACGGAAGGAGGTACTATTTTAGATGGCATGAGGGTCACACGAGTGAGCACCAATCACATGGAAGGCTATGTAAATAATGTGCCTTTAAAACTCTCTCACTAGGGAAAACCTTTCTAGAGCAGGTGAAAACTGAATCTGAGAACTAAGTGAGAGAGCAAACCATGCAAGTACGTATACAAGAAGAATATTACAGGAAAGAAAACAAACACAAAAGCCATTTTACCAGGTAAGGGTATTTTAAGGAAGATTTAATCTGTTCAACTAGAACTACTAAAATGTATTAAAGTGTCATCTCCCACCTCATCCAGGAAAATAAAATTATTCTTAGTTTATATTAAAATTGCCAGATTATTAATAGAATAAAATGTAAAAACTTAAAGGCAAGTTTTAATATTTATTTTAGTTACTCAATGTATTTTACCAAAAACTATAAACGGTCTCCTCTATTCCCCAAAGTAGCCACACACAAAAGAAACAATGAAACTTCATTGCTCTTTATAAAGAATTTATTACAACTACAGATATAAACTTATTTAATGAAACTAATGTTCTCTATCACATATGATGGAATAAAATTTCCTCTTTAAACAAGGTTGTCTCCCTTCCAGCATGAAAACTGTAAAGAAGTAAAATGGGATGAGTAGTGCTCATTATTTAATGTTATCTTCCTAATCAATAGGCCTCTTTCCCCCTTACTGATCTTGCTTTCAATTTAACAAAAACTAGCCCTTTGTTGTCCTTAAGCATTTTTTTTTTTTTGCAAACTTGAACTCAGTCAGAGCTCTAGCCTCCCCCTTCTTATGCATTATTACTTTTTTTGTATTAACTTTCACTTATATACCATATGTGGGTATTCTTGATGTTTTCTTTTGAAAAATATCAGAAATGACTTATGTGGAAGTCATAATTACTTTAAGTGACTTACATATTCTTCTTCCCTCAGTGGAAATTTTTTGTCATTTTAATAATAGGTTTCATTTTTAAGAGCCTTCTATCAACATTGATTGTTTATACAATCTGTGGTCATTATCATTATCAATCTTCTCTTCTAAGTTTCTGAAACTGTCTTTTCTATGAATCCCTACCTAATACAAACTCCAAGGCAACAGTCACTACCTTTTGATTCTCATGACTTTCATTTCTATCTGGGGAACAAAGAACAGTGTTTTGGAAAAGCAGGATGAGCTTTGGAATCAGGTATCTGTCATTTACTAGCACACTTCTTTGCATCTCCATTTCCACATCAATAAAATAAAAAATAGCATTAACTGAGCACCTATTTCATACCAAGTACCTTATATACTCTATACATGAGTAGAAAATACTGTATCATTTATAATGAGAAAAACAAGGCTTAGAGATAAATAATTTGCTTAAAGTTACAGAGTTCAAAATCCTAGAGAGCCAGACACGGACCAGTGTATCTCCAATGGCTTGGCGTCATCTGGCAAAGTGAAAAGTCGCCAGTTTGATTCCTGGTCAGGGCACAGGGCTAGTTTGCAGTTTCTGTCCCCCACTGAGGCGTGTATGAGAGCAACTGATTGATGTTGATTTTTCTCTCCCTTCCTTCCTTCCCCTCTCTAAAAAATAATAAAATGTCATTCTTCCTTAGGCGGCAGCCATGGCTGGACAGGAGGATCTGGTGCAGCGGGAAATTCACCAGGACTGGGACAACCAGGAGTACGTTGAGCTAAGCAGCAGCAGCATCAAGAAAATAGTGGACATTCTCAACTCGTTCGGTATGTCTTGTCGTTCAAGACTTGCAACACTGAATAAGAAATTGACAGCCCTCAAACGGAGAAGAGAGTACACTGAAGCATGGGTGACAAAAGGTGAGACCCTCACCTAGAACTGTGCCAGGCTGCTGCTGGGAAGTTGCTTTACAGAACACAGGCCTCCATGGGAAAAGCCCCAGCAGACTTCAACTTCTTCCTCTCTCCTTAAAGAACAACAGGGCTTATTCTTGTTTTTCTTTCTTCGATAATGTGGCCTTTGGGCTCTGCCATGTACATCTGACAGTATGATATGGTATGTGGGCAGAAGTCCAGGGTAACTCTTGAAAACTTTAGGCATTTTACCTTTTCAGTAACATTTTGTAGAACTACTGGTCAATGTATTTGAGGCACTCAGAGCCCACCTCTCTCTCTCTCCGACTTCCCTTACACTTTTCATTGCCTCTGCACTGATTCTGTAAACAGCCTTTGTCTCCTCCCCACCTTCATTTGGGGGCAGACAGTCCTGGCTGAGACACTCATGCCCTGGCAAGGTGGCTGCCAGAGAATGTTGTTAACCCCCAGTTTTTTGTCCTTCTGGGGAGGTCAAGGCCAGGCCACTACTTGGCTTGAAACGGACATTTTCAGTTTTCTTTCTGTCATTTGGGGTATCTGCCTCTGATACTTCACTAATAAACTCAACTTAAAAAATAAATAAAATAAAAATAAAAAATAATAAAATGTTTTAAAAAACAATACTAGAGCTGGGATTCATTAAATCCGAGACTGATTCCAAGCTCACATTCTTTTTTTTTTAACTGCATCACAAATCAGTGACTCTAAAATAAGTCTGTTGCCCAAAAGAGATATTCAGTAAGTTATTTCTATATGCCCCTCACTGCTCTTCCTTGTCGGTCAGAATCAATTTCACACCAGCAATTCTCTTCAACTTTTAGATTAAACTGCCAGCAAAACTCTGATCGTCTTTATTAGTACACTATTTAATTAATCCACTAATTAAAACCAAAAGTGATATATTATGCCAACCATATTCTTAAAGATACTTCTGTTAAAAGAACCTTACATACAAAAATAAAAACCCATGGTTAGAGTAACATAAAAAGTCAGGAAGCTGAACTATCTAATTCAGCAGAGTATGCTAGTCATCCTCAAAATTCTTAAAACACACCACTATGGAGAAAAGGCTTAAAAAAAGTCATTCTCTGAGTTATGCACATCAAGACCACAGAAATACTTAAGAGCAGTTTGCCAGAGACTGAGCAACTACCAAATAGACAAGAACTCTACAATTGTAACATCATGAAACTATAAATAAGTTTCTCTTAATCATCTCATTCCCTCTTCATACATTAGATTGTGGGTAGGCCTAAACACTACCATTCATATCACTTTAAAGCCTACTAATCAAGTAAACTAATCTGAATGGTCAGAAATAAAGAGCTAGAAAGCAATATACATTTTTCAGTTTCTTAAAAGTAAAAAAGAAAGGTTTATTAATTAAAGTTCATAAGTAGTTTTATTACTAAGCTGTAACATAGTACTATACTAAAAGACTTGTAAATGCAGCAGGTGATGTGTTTTTAAACTTAAAATAGGCTAAAGATGAGAGTGATTTCAAATAGGCTAAATAAATCTTTTTGGATTTATGAAAATGTTCTAAAACTGGACTGTGGGAGAGTTGCACAACACTAAATTTACTGAAGATCACTGTATCATATACTCAGAAAGACTGTAACTCAGAAATCCTCCCTCAAAAAGCTATAATTATTGAGGTGACCAGAACACTCCTTCCCTTATATGACTACCTTGAAATTAACACCAGCATTTAGTTCTATTATTCTGTAAATCTGTGTTATCTTACTTGAGCATATTTGGGCTTCCAGATACTGAGTTACATTGTAATCCTCTTTATTAAATAAATGCAGTTCTTGAACATGACACCACTGTGCAAAATTTTATCTAAAACACTGAACAGTAAGAAATGCCTTACTAAAATTATATGCAAAAAACAAGATGTATACAGGAATGTTAGAGTTTGGATAAATAACACCTTGATGAAAAAACTAAAAAGATTTCTGTTTTTAAAGGTCAAAGTATCCACATCATAGCTACTTCCAGTTCTGTGTTTATGCCTAAAACAGTCCTTGAATATAAGATTTGGAAGAAAATTCAAATGCCAGTATAAAATGTGATTAAAAAAATTCACTAGAATATACACTGTGGTCCTGAAACAAGGAAAGGCACAAATAATATACATAAATGCCCCTGATGATAACACATCAAACTCCAAAAACAGAGTCTGAATGCTTGGGTTCATATTCCAAACCCATAATTTAGCACCTGTATGACATTGAGCAAGATACTTAACCTCTCTGCTTCAACTTGCTCATTTGCAGAAGATAACAGCTGTGAGATCCAAATGATAATGAATACACTATTTATATGTATCTAGCATAGAGAAACTTTTCAGTAAATCTTGATTAGTATTACTTTACAGTTTCACAAATTATCTTGAGCAGTCCTTCACAACCTTCAACATACACTCAAACTGCCTGGTAATCTAGTTAAAAAGAGATTCTGTTATTCGGGAAGACCTGGGTGGGGACCTGAAATTTTCTTTTCTAGGTAGTGCCCAGAAAGGTACCAAGGAAGGGCACTTTTAAGTTACAAGAATAGTTATACTTCAGCACACATCAGAATCACTTGGATGGCTAGTTTAAAGCAAGTATTTCTGGGTTCCGCCCTAGAGCTGGAGATAATTTGCATTTGTAAGAAGTTCCTAAGTGATGCTATGCTGCTATTCCCAGGCCCATATTTTGACAACTACCGCTCAAATGTTCTCAGCTAAGATGTATATTAGAATCACTTGTGAGGAATTTGTTTGTGGTTCTTTAATTAAATGTATGTGCCCTGACTATATTCCAGTATTGGTTCTCAAAGTGTGGTCTCTTAACCCATTAAATCTGAAACACTAGGAGTAAGGCCCAGCCATCCATTATTTTTAAAAAACAAACAAATCTCCCAGGTGATTACGATGCATGTTAAAGTTTGAAAACCTCTGGCTTTCAGTTACAAATGAATCTGAATTTCCTTGGTGAAATTTTGCTAACTACAGAAAGAAAACTAACCACTTGTATATGTGGCTTAGGTCAAACCGGAAAACATCCTGACTCTCTAGCCAAGTAAGAACAGCATTTATTCAAATCTAGTGGTAACCCTGTAACCGTGATGTAAGTCAATTACTGTCTACTTCATTCTTCATGAGATAATGTTCTCCTATAACTATGATGTTTCTCCAAAGTCAAACATTTAAAATCTCCACGGTGGGGTGTGGAGGGGGGACACCTTTTTAAAGAAGACAAAAATTTTGCATGACATTTAATTTCCACAAAAGCTCAACAAATACAAGATCACTAGAGTATGAAATGTAGGTATGTGTTAAGCTTAAATTATTCTGGAACAAAATAGCTAATTTCAACAGCTGCAGGCCATTTATAATATACTGGCCCTAAATTAACAACTGACAGTAACCAAAATTTATTTATAAAGGAAATTAACATACACATCCAGGCTAACCATGTGACTTAGCTGAAAGAAAAATTACGTGCATGAGCACAGTGATAAATCTTTCATTATGCCTTTCTTTAAAATTAAGAAAGTGAAATGGGAGGCATACAAAAGATGATACAAAGAGAGGGTTTCTGGGAAGAAAGCTGCACTTATATTTGAAGCCAGCCTGAAAGTAAGTAGTATCAAGTAAGGCTCTTAGCTGATTCTCAATTTTTCAGTAGCCCACAATTTGATTTTATACTCTGCATACCACAATGTCGTACTGTTCATAAATCTAAAATAAGTATCTTAGAAATAAAGTGGATTAAACTTAACCTGGGTTTTTTTTCTTGGGGAAAGGGACATTCACAATACTCTCCAAAATAATACAGGATACCAGAGGGTGTCTGTGATAAAAATTAGAATGGGAATGAATCACTGCTCGAAAGGAATTCAAAGAATGAAAAGAAAGCTGCCAAGTCATAGGATGAAAGCCCAAAAAGCCATTAGCTGATCAGGAATGCTGTACTAAAGTATGCAAAACAAAAGTTTTAAGTGGAAAAATAAAATAAAATAAAAGCTGAGGTGCTGTTGCAGGCCATCAACCGCAGCAATTAAAAAGTATCCTGTTTGCCCAAGCAACATTAAAACACAGAAAGGTCTACCACACAATCTGAAAGCAAAGAAGGCTTTTCTTTGATGTCCAACACCTTCTAGAGAGTTCTTGAAAACTATGAATGCCATGAGAAAAGTTTAAATCAAAGTGCTGAAATCTCCAGGTATAAAATAGATTGAGTTCTAAGATTTCTCAGGGTACTCATATCAAAACAGGATAAAAATGCAATTACGTTTACAAAGGAAATTAAAGCTCAAAAGCCCACAAAATTGTTCTGTGGTATCAGACATGAAAATAGTGGTTTCCCATGGGAGAGAGGGGAGTTTTAATGACCAGGATAGGGCACAAGGCAGTTTCTGGGATTTGGATAATGTTCTGCTTCTTACTAATAATTACATAGTTGTGTTCACAGTGTGAAAATTCACTGAATTGTACACTTATGGGAACTTTTTGTGGGTATTATATTTTAATCATACTTACATATTTTGAAAAAGCAGGGAGGGGGAAAAAGGAAATTTCCCCCTCAGGAAATAAAACATATTACTGCAAAAACATTTAAAAATTATATTCAGTAGAGAGAAGAGAGTTAATACAGAGAAGTATTACAAAGTTCCTCAAAGACTATGAGTAGATAAATCTCACACGTACATCTTTTTCAGGAGGAAAAAATCCTGTTATCTCCCTCTATAATACAGCCAAGCCAAATAAAGCATTATTTCACTTTATTTATGATACACATTAATCTGTTTTAATGAGAAGTGTACACAAACTCCAGATGTTTTCCTCAAATTTCTGACCAATTAAAACAAAACAAACAACAAAAAAACCCCCTAACCCTGGCCAGGTGGGCTCAGTTGGCTGGGGCATAGTCCCATACACCAAAAGGCTGCAGGTTCAATTCCCAGTCAAGGCACATACCTAGGTTGCTTGTTCAATCCCAAGCTGGGGCACACATGGGGACAGCCAATCAGTGTTTCTCACATGGATGTCTGCCTACCTCTGTCTCTCTCTAAAATCACTAAGGATATCCTTGGGTAAGAATTAAAAAAAAAAAACAAAAAACAAAACTAGTAAAGGAGGGTAAGTAAG